ACTCATTCCTGTGATACTCATACTTATTCAGGGGTTGAGCCTTGCAGAGCTTGATGCTTCATCCAGAAGATGCATTTAAATGGATTATTTTACAAACATATTTTATGGATCCCTTCCTTTCATGTGTGGTTACATATTTATTATTCAAGCAACCATATGTGATTAAAGGATTATCCTCATACCCTGTCTTCACAAGAGTAACCAGTATTGCTCTTAAGAGGCCACCCTCTCTTGGGTTAAGAGGGGAATTCCGTCATCACACACTAAAGAAGTTCAAATATTTGTGAAAATTATTAAAACTAATTATTTTGGGTTTTAGTGCACATTCTGATGTTGCTTCAGGCATGAGTGATGGGAATGAGAATGTGCCAGGATCTAGTGGGAGACATGAAGGGAGAACCACCAAACGCCATTATCGGAAGTCTGTACGCAGCCGCTCTCGGCACGAGAAGACTGCTAGACCAAAACTGAGAATTCTCAATGTGAGTTACGGCTTATTTCAGTGACTGTAGTAGTGGATAATGTCTGTCTTGAGTTTTTACAGAACTTCTCTACCCACCATCCTGAAGAGGGGTATCCTTTCTGTTTCCCTTGTATCCTAAATTCTGATAACGGCCTCCCATGTGAAGTGGCTAGGCTTCCACCCCATCTCTTTTCTTGGTGCCGTACACTATACAGGGGTGTACAAAATATTCTTCCTGCTTTGGAGGTCAGATAGTGTTCCAAAGATGAGCTATTAGCTATGCTGCGGAGCATTAAGCACAGCAGAACATGGTCATTCAGGAAGCAGTGATACCAGTAGTTGCTACAGAATATTTGCTTTGCCATTTGCCTTGCCCCTCAGACTGTTGACTGGGCTGGAGTTCATTTAAGAAACCTCACCCTATTTTCACTATTACCATTAATGACTTTCCTGAAATGTTGGGACAGACTTTTTGTTCTCTTTCTTGACATAAGCAGGAAAGTTTACAGAGCAGTCAGAGTTCTAGAGAAAGATGGTCTATGTTGAGCAAGAGGGCTTGAAGGTTGATGTGGTTGGGAATCCCTTAGAGGATCATTGCCCTTCAGTGTATCTGATCTCTGTTTGAGAATGGAAAGTGAATTGCTCAAGGAGGAGTACAGTACAGTTGGCCCTCTTGGAGATCTCTTGTTGCTTTTGTGCACCTGGCCTTCCCTGGCTTTAGGAACAAGAGATGTCTGCACACTTGTACTCAGTAGTTGTTCATGATGTTCCATTGTGTTCTGCAGTTCAGGCTGGAAAGCATATTTCTTCTCTTTCAGGTTTCGAACAAGGGTGATCGGGTGGTTGAGTGCCAGCTAGAGACACACAATCGGAAAATGGTTACTTTCAAATTTGACTTGGATGGTGACAACCCAGAGGAAATCGCTATAATTATGGTGAGCTACATCTCCAGTGCAGATGGAGAATTGACCCTGATCTTGTTAACCATATTAGTTGTACAAATCACCTTAGATTAGAGTTCATCTAACCTGCCTTTTTGAATTACTACTATTCTTATTGCTTCCCTGTGCACTATAGTCTTTGTCTCCTCTTCCAGTCACATTACTAATATTAGAAGCAAAATCTTTCCCTAATGTAAAGAACAGTGTCCAAAGCCAACATGTTTGGTCCAGTATTTGCACAACTAGTTCATCTGAGGATTTGGGTCAGCTTCTATCTTAAAACTTCAGTGTCTTCAAGTAAAACAGTTTTAACTTTGTACTCTAGGATTTTAAAAATCTCTTACTAACTGCTTGTTGTGAGCTGAGCTAATAAACAGTAAACTCGATTTCTGGAAATACAATATAAAACAAACTCCTCCAAGTGCAGTCCCGTTCCTGTCACTGGGGAACTTAATTTTCTTCAAGTACTGTCCCTATGTGAGCTCCACGGTAGGTGTATCTGAGTCCCTGTACCTCTAATCAAAGATTTTAGGTTGCAGTGTCTGTTCAGCCCGCACATGTGCGCTCCTTCCCTCATGACCTGCCTGGAGGCTATCTTGTGCGGGCGAACTGCCCACAGTTCCTTCTCGACTGCCTTTGGCCTCAAATGGAACGATCAGGTGTCTTGTTACTCTCTGCATCATTAGCATAAGTAGTAGTTTAATCCTTTTGTTTCCCTTAATAGTTAGTTTCCAGGATTTAAAAAAAAAGGGGGGGGGACCCTTCTATTTCATGTTTCCTGCCCTTTCTGGGGAACCCTCTACACCCCACCCTCCCCTGGAGGGCGTTTAGTAGTTTAGACTCTCTAACCTCTCTGTTTAATTTAAAAAAACAAAATAAAATTCTGCTTTCTTTGCTTTTGAGGGTGATATTACTGTGTAAAGTATTGGGAGAATCGTATATCCACAAAAGTGCAACAACCTCTGCCAGCAGCTCAAGTCGAGGTCTCAAAAAAACCAAATCAGGATCTGGAGTTAAAATGCCTCCTGATGGAGAGAGCACTTCACCCACCAGCTGACTCCAGTGTCAGACATTCTCCAGGGCACATGTTGTCCCTGGAGCCTTTAACTTCCCTTGGGGTAGAACTGAATGTTGCAAAGCTCCTGTCCCTGGAGTGTTCCACACATAAGCAACCATCAGTACCTACAACTTACCACCGACACTCCTCCACGGCACCAAGTGAATCCGTGGAACCGCAAGAATTCCCGTGCCCTAGAGCAGTGGTCTCCGAACTTTTTTGATTGCGCACCCCTATAAGTAAAAAATTTTTGAGCATGCAACCCCCTGCCTCGCTGGCTCTACCATTTTTGCCAAAGCAAAAAAGAAAAAAAAAACTCTCCGACTCCCGCCCGAACTGCTGAAGCAGCAGCAGCAACAACAACAACAACAAAAAAGCTGCTTGGACTCCCGCTCGAACTGACGAAGTGCCAAAAAAACAAACAAAAAAACAACGCTCCTTCTGCCACGCACCCCCAAGGATCCTCTTGTGCACCCCACTTTGGAGACCACTGCCCTAGAGACCTGGAGGTCATGGAAGAACCACAATCCCCATTAATTGATACTGGGGCCCCATGCCTGGAATCACTGAGGACATTTACTGCCAATGCCCTGGTCAGCACCACCTTTACCTTTGAGTCTGACAGTGACCAGGAGCATGTTATTTCCCTGACCTATCACTGTGGCGTGCCATCACAGTACTAGAGACCTCATCAACTCCACCCTCGCGCTGACCTGCAATCTTGGTGTGGGCCTCCTTGTGCACATCCACTACCCCCCCTTCCCCCACCCCCAGTTGCCCTATTGGGATCCTTGGGTGATATACAGATCCCACACTTTGGGTGTCCGTGTCTCTGAGAGAGTTGGCAAGACTGTCTCCTGTAGCTTCACTATCTCTAGTCCCTGAACTGGAGGAGGAGGAAACTTTTGAAGCACAGGAGGAAAGGCTTGAAAGGGAGGCTATCACTCCAGCAAACTTCTCATCTTCACCAGATAAGGCTTTAATGCCTCCCCCCATCACTAGCTGATGATTAAGAACTTTCAAGATCTTACTAAGAGAGTGGCAGATGAGTTGCAAATTCCCCTACAGGAGGTAGCAGATACATATTACAAGCTGGTAGATATTCTGCATACAGTACTTCCTCCTTCTCCAAAATAGCCCTCCCAATTAAGGAGGCGCTTCTTGACCCTGCCAAAGTCATCTGGCAGACACCAGCCTCCATTGCATCGACCTGCAAGAGAAATATTACATGCCTCTCAGAGGCAGACTTTGTTTCTACATCCTCAACCCAATTCAATTGCTGTAGATGTGATTAATGCATGTGGCAAGCAACATCATGCCAAGTCGACCCCATATGATGGAGATTGGAAAAGGCTAGATTTCTTTGGAAGGAAGACTTATTCGTCTGTGACATTGAAGTCCAGGGTCACAATTTGGTCATGGCCAATTATGATTTCATTAATTATGGAAAAGTCAGTGTGTTCATCAAACATTTACCAGAGGCACAAAGAGCAGCTTCAGGTCATTGTCATAGAGGGCCAGTTAGTGGCCAGGACTGTGCTACAGACAGCGTTGGATGCAGCAGATACAGCAGCCTGCTAGGTCTCCATGGCAGTGATAAGGAGGCAGGCGTCATGGTTACACCTTTCTGGGTTGCCCAGAAAGGTACAGACTATGGTTGAGGATCTCTTATTCAACGGGCCCAAGCTCTTCACTGATATGACTGGTGCCTCTCTCCACGCCTTGAAGGATTCCATGGGAATCTATACAGCGGACAAAAGAGGAGATATGGCTCTCAACCACAGTACAGGTCCCGACCTTCTCAGTACCCACCCTCACAATGCTATTATGAGCCGCAGTGCAAGAGGCTCAGGGTACAAAAGTGAAAACTGCACCCCAATATGCAACCTCTGACTGTCTCTTCTCAGCACTTTTGACAGATTGGTTGAGGGCCTGAACAACTGCGCCTTGAAACATCAGCTACCATCTATGCACCTGTCACATGATTTTGGCAATCACCTGACCTTCTTTCACAGAAGCTGGGACAAATGGCTCTTGGAGATTATTTCAAAGGGTTATGCCATTCATTTCTCGTCCCTCCCCCATTCCCACCCTCCTTCGCCATCACTCTTCAGGGACTCTTCTCACGAGAACCTGCTTCGCCAGGAGATAGATCTGTTACACCTAGGAGCCATAGAACCAGTCCCAGCAGAACTCAGAGGCAAGAGATTTTACTTCCATTTATTCCCTGATCCCCAAAGCAAAGGGAGGTTGTACACCCATTCTAGACCAAAGGGCATCAAACAGATGTGTGAAGGTGCAGAAGTTCAAGGTGGTCATGCTAGGAGCCATTATTCCAGCTCTGGAGCAAAGAGCTTGGTTTTTGGCCCTCGACCTACAAGATGCCTACTTCCACGTCTCAAATCTGACCGTCTCACAGGAAATGCCTACGGCTTACCTTTGGGCAAGACCATTATCCATACAGATGCTCCAATTCGGCCTCTTGTCCGTATCCAGGGTATTCTCCAAGGCTGTCTGTCATAGCGGCACACCTGCAAACATAAGGCATTATCTACATTATCTAGACAACTGCCTTGTTGAGGATGCCATATGTGCCACTCAGATCACCATGCGCACTTTTGCACAACTGGGCTTACAGCACAACATCCAGAAATCAATCCTCAGCCCATTACAGGGACTGGAATTTATTGGGGCCAAGCTTGACACAGTGCAAGTGAGAGCATTATTCCTGCTGCACAGATTTACCACCCTCACAACCCTCCTAGAGACAGTCCAGGCTAGCCCACAAATGTCAGCCAGGAACTGCCTACAGTTGCTCAGGCATATGGCAGCATGCACCTTTGGCACTCTGCACGCCTCATTGTTCATGAGGTGTCTTCAGATGTGGCTCAGGTCCGTCTGTTCCTTGAACAAGGACAGGCTAAGCAAACTGCTATCGATACCCTCTCTACTATAAAGCACTCCCTGGACTGGTGGAAAGATGCATCCAAGCAGACGTTTCATTTGTACAATTACTACCAATGCTGACTCGGATGTATGTCTCCCTGATAGGCTGGGGAGCCCATCTACATGACCACAAGGTTCAGATCAAATGGTTTCCTATAGGAGCGGCTCTCATATCAATCTTTTGGAGTTAAAAGCCATCAAACGCCTGTGCACACTTTCTCCGATTCATCAAGAATACTACGTGAAGATCACAAGAGACAATATAACTTGTATATTTTACATCAATCACCAGGGGAGTGCCTGATCTCCCTCCCTCTTCACAGAAGCACTCAGACTTTGGAATTGGTGCATCTGACATAGCGTGCTTATCTCAACCATCTACCTAACTGAGATGCAGAATGTGACAACCAACAGTCTGTCAGAACGTCTCTCATGACGAGAAATGGGAACTGAACTCAGAGGTGCTTCATGACTAAGGCTACTAATTTAGTCACAGGTATTCTTAGTAACTCATGAACAAGTCATAGGCAATACACACAAAATCACAGGCCCGTGACCTGTCCATGACTAAATCTTAAGGGGGTTACTGCTGGGGGGTGCCAGGACTGCTGCTGGGGGTGAGGGGGCATCTGGAGAGGTTGCTGCTGGGGGGGCAGTTGCTCAAAGGGGCTGCTGCTGGGACAAGCAGGGGGCCAGCCACGGTACCAGCTGCCGGGGGCCGCCTGGGCACCACTACTGGGGGTTGCCCAGGGAAGTGGCTACTCCGGCTGCCTGGGCACCACTGCCAGCGGCCACCTGGGGAAGCGGCTACTCCAGCTGCCAGGGAACGCGGGCAGCGGCTGCACTGGCCGCCCAGTCACTGCCCAGGGAAGCAGCTACTCCGGCCGCCAGGGGCTGCGGGCAGCAGCTGCAGTGGCCACCAGGGGACCACTGCTCAGGCGGTCCCTAGGGCCAGCCTCATCAGCCGTTGCTCAGGCGGTCCCTGGAGCTAGCTGCACAGGGCCACCTGAGCAGTCTGCGGGGCTGCTCCAGCAGCGGCTGGGGGTGTCTGTCCCGGGGGCCACCTGGCTAGCTGGCCTTATAGCCAGCTACTTGGGCGGCCCTGGGTTCAGCTACATTGGCCCCCACAGAAGTTGCGGAGATCGTGGGAAGTTACGGAGTCCTTGACTTCCGCGCCAAACACGGAGCCCTTTTCATGACATATTCACCCTTTGGGGAACCCTGACTATAGATCGGAACAAGAAATGTCCTCATTATTGCTCCAGAGCAGTCCTGGGGAAACGGTCCTTGGGAGATGTGCTCATCCTCCCATGGGACAGGAACCTTTTATACACCTTTCCCCCCACTTCTCTACTGTCCAAAGTACGACGTGACAAAGCAAGAGTTATTCTGATAGCCACCTCCTGGCATAGTTTGGTTTCCTTACCTGCCAGAGATGGCACTATGTTCTCCAGTTCCTCTTCAACCCATTCCTCAAAACTAACAGCTCCTTCACTCCAACTTGTGGATCCTCCGCTTCCAGGCATGGCTCCTTCTTGGTTCCAGGATCTAGAGGTAGAATGCTTTGATGAAGTAAAAGACGTGTTATTACATAGCCAAAAATTGACCACTACTTAACTGCAAAAATGGAAGTCATTCCAAATTTGGTGGTGGTCTAAGCACATAGACCAAACATCTTCCTCCCTCCATCTCCTCAAAACTCTGTTCCTTTAAGGTACATCTTGCAACTATAACGGCTTTCACTGTCAAGTAGACACTGTTCGCTCACCCACTGACGCGTAGATTACTTAAGGGTGTTGGAAATCTCTTCCCACACATGACGCCCGCTCCAACCTGGGATCTTAATTTACTTCTCTGGGCCTTGACTAGGCCTCCTTTTGGTGACTTGCTCTCTCACACCTGTCCATGAGCAGATAGTCTCCTGGCAACTCAATGCTCAGTTGGACAGTTGAGTACTAACATTAATTTTAAAGAAAAATTGTTTTTGACTAACCTGCACAAAACACACACTAACACTCCCGTCACTTAAAGTAATACAGGTACGTTGATAATTGAATACATTTACAGAAAGCTTTCGTTGTGGAAAACATTTTGTATAACTCTTGTTACTCATTCATAGGTTTTTCTTGAGGTGCTAACAATACACGTCAAAAATCTGAGACACACAAACAAAATTGTAAAAGGAAGATTCTTCCAAAATTGTCATGAAATGTACACCTATAAGCTATTAAATTACACTATCCATATTATATACACTCAACATACACCAGTTACCTCAGTTATTGTTTCCAAGTAAGTGTGAATTAATTCTTGTTGGTTTTGTCATGTAGAAAATAAACTGATTGGTGAGGGTCATATATGCTTAGTCCCATTTCATTTGGCGGCGGCAGCAAGGATAAAATCTTTAATCGTTTTCTCTCTCAAATCATTCTGTGGGAAATTGTCTTGTCATATCTTGAAAAACTAGTGCATAGGGCTCATGAAATAGAACTTCATGGCATTGCCATGCCAGTAGTAATATCCATTTTCAGTCAGAGTGAAAAACAGATAACAGCTAAAAATATGCTTCAGCCTTTGAACAGAAGAGTTTATAGTAACTGATGTTTTTGCACAATTGAAATGTACAGCTGGTTTATGTGGTTAGTCACAGAATTAAGCTTGTGAAGTTATTTGGTCTCTTCTCTGGGAGATATGGGTTCACCTTAAACGCAGTTTGCCAGTGCAGAGCAATTTGGTTCATCACAATTGTTTGACTCTGGTTATGAAAGACTCTGAACAGGCAGAGAAGAGAATTGAAGTTCATTTCCAGCACTTCATGAGGAGATCTCGCACAGTACTTTCAAGTTTCAGTGACCTTAGTCTCTCATTCCTTTTACTGCAGCTAAACATTTGAGAGCTGTTTTGAACACTTACGGAATATTAAATCAATAGCTGTAATAGGAATTAGTTGGACTGCCTGGCTTCAATTATGCAATGATTTTGTAGCTGTGTTGGTCCCAGGATATTAGTCAAGGTGGGTGAGGTAATATCTTTTATTGAACCATCTTCTGTTAGTGAGAGAGACAAGCTTTCAAGCTACACAGACCTATTCTTCAGTTCTGGGAAACAGTGTGTCGCAGCTACATAGAAGATCGAACAGAGTTTGGCAGAAGTAATAAAGTTCAATTAAACAATTTATGCCAAGCAGAAATCCTGTGATGAAGTGACAATAGCTTACCTGGATGAGTGAGACTTTTAGTGCTACTGTAATACAAATAATAGAGGACCAAATAAGAGTCCTGTTACACTTGAGGCTATAAAAATACAGACTATCCCTTCCCCAAAGAGGTCACAGCCTAAACCAGGGGTCGGCAACCTTTCAGAAGTGGTGTGCCGAGTCTTCATTTATTCACTCTGATTTAAGGTTTCGTGTGCCAGTAATACATTTTAACGTTTTTAGAAGGTCTCTTTTTCTATAAGTCTGTAATATATAACTAAACTATTGTATGTAAAGTAAATAAGGTTTTTAAAATGTTTAAGAAGCTTCATTTAAAATTCAATTAAAATGCATAGCCCCCCGGACCGGTGGTCAGGACCTGGGCAGTGTGAGTGCCACTGAAAATCAGCTTGCGGGGTTGCCTACCCCTGGTCTAAACTAAAGCAAAATGCAACAAGTTGGTGTGACAAAAATGGCCAACGGAGAATAAGGGTAACACTGAAAGGAAGGCATAATTGCATAGACAGAATCCATGCACAATTTATAGGTTTGAAGGGGTTTAAAAATATAGACAGACAAGGGACATTAATGATGACAGTAGTCCTTGTTGTTTTGTTTCATTTACAGGTGCAGAATGAATTTATTCTAGCAACTGAGAGAGATTCATTTGTAGAGCAGGTACGAGAGATCATTGAGAAAGCCGATGAAATGCTCAGTGAGGATGTCAGTGTAGAGCCCGAAGGTGATCAGGGCTTGGAGAGTATGCAGACGAAAGATGACTGCTTCTTTCCAGGGTCCCAGGTAAGTGGGGAACTGGTTGCTTCAGCCAGACTGTTTACAACCTCTGTTTTGAGAAAGTGGTGGCATAAGTAGAGCTGGCCAGAAACTGGAATTCCTGTTCCACAGGAAATTTCAGAATTTCAAAAAATTGCTCCAAAATGGAACAATGAAATGATTTAGAAAAAAATCAGATATCTTGTGTTGACATTTTCAAAGTGATTCCTCTGCTCCTCCAGTTGTCCAGCATCCTGGCAGCCCACCAGGCAGGGGAAAGGGGTTGAGGGCTTCCAGGACTGCCTTGGAGCTGGGACAACTGCAACCTATGGGAGTCCTGGCTCCAGGGCAGTCTGCCTGGCAGGAAAACAGGTAGGTTTCCAAACTTTCCTGTCTCGGTAATTTAGATGTAATACTGACATGTTCCCATGGAACAGAGTTTCGGGGGTGTGTGGGGGAGTGGTGAAGTGAGGTAGAACTAGACTAGATTGATAGTTCTCAAATTCACAGTATTGCTTACAGTAGCAGTACACTGAATACCATAGTTATGCCACTGAACTTGTGTTTAAGCTTTTTTGGAAGACTGAGGTTGTGCTTGAATGTAAATTTTACTATTTTATCTTTTTGCAGAAATTGGAGGGAGAGTTCAAACAGCCAGATCCTGTATCTTTCATGCCGCAGAGAATTGGTAAGCTTTATAATACTTATCCAACAGTTTCCTAGTGCTGACTTTGATCCAGCTGAGGAGTGCAACTTTTATATGCTTGAGTGCATGATCTGGCAGGACATGCTGTAATGAGTGAGATGCAGCACATCGCTAAATACCTAACTTCTCTTTATTGTTTAGGTGTTCCTCCCAGCTCTTTCACCCAGGTTGTCCATTCTGCTGGAAGACGGTTTATTGTCAGTCCTGTCCCAGAGAGTCGGTTAAAAGAACAACAGTTTTTCACCTCTTCTATTCATGCAGGAAAGGAACTTCCAGATATTGGTAAATTACCCGAAGCTCTCTGAAGTTTTGATTGTTAATATTTATTTATGATACCAGCTACAAGTTGTTTAACCAGAGTGACCAGTTCTTGTAGTAGCTGTCAGTCCCAGGATATTAGAGAGACCATAGATGCCAACTCTGTGGGTGCTTCAGCCCTGGAGCACCCACAGGGAAAAATTAGTGGGTGCACTGCACCCACCAACAGCCAAGCTCCCCTCACTCCCCGTCCCCACCTCCTCCTCCCCTGAGCGTGCCGCATCCCTGCTCGTCCGCCTACCTCCTAGCACTTCCTGCCCGGCTGCCACCAAACAGCTGTTTGGCAGTGTTAGCGTGCTCCGGGAAGGAGGGGGTGGAGCGGGAATGTGGCAAGCTCAGGGAAAGAGGCAGGGTTGGAATGGGGCGGGGCAGGGGTGGGAAAGGGCAGGTGCGGGGCCGGGGGTGGGTGGGTGGGGTCGAGCACCCACGGGAAAGAGGGGAAGTCAGTGCCTTTGCGAGAGACAAGATAAGTGAGGTCATGTCATATCTTTTATTGGACCAAATTCCATTGGTGTGAGAGAAGCTTTTGAGTTTACACAGCGCTCTTCTTCAGGTCTGGGAAACACACGCAATGTGTCACAGCTAAATACAAGGTGAAACAGATTGTTTAGCATAAGTAGTTAACACACATTTCAAGGGACCATTCAAGGTGAAGTGGCCGTTAGCACGCCTCCAATCATAGGGGGGGGAAAGGAAGCTCCTTTCCCCTCCACCCTCTCCTTGTGCAGAGAAGGGTTACTAGGATGATCTGAGGAATGGAAAACCTACCTTATGAGAGGAGACTCAAAGAGCTTGGCTTGTTTAGCCTAACTAAAAGAAGGCTGAGGGGAGATATGATTGTTCTCTATAAATATACCAGAGGGATAAATACCAGGGAGGGAGCGGATTTATTTAAGTTATGCGTCAATGTGGACACAAGAACAAACTAGTCTAAACTGGCCATCAACAACTTTGGGCTTGAAATTAGGTGAAGGTTTCTAACCATCAGAGGAGTGAAGTTCTGGAACAGCCTTCCAAGGGGAGCAGTGCGGGCAAAAAACCTAACTGGCTTCAAGACTGAGCCTGAAAAATGTATGGAGGGGATGGTATGATGAGACTGGCTACATGCCTTTGTAGGCAATCCGTGACTGCTAATAGCAAATGGGACACTAGATGCGGAGGGCTCTGAGTTATTACAGAGAATTCTTTCCCAGGTATCTGGCTGGTGGGTCTTGCCCACATGCTCAGAGTCTATCTGATAGCCATATTTGGGATCAGGAAGGAATTTTCCCCCAGGTCAGATTGGCAGAGACTCTGGGGGTTTTTCACCTTCCCCAACAGCATGGGGCATGGGTCACTTGCTGGTTTAAACTAGTGCAAATGGTAGATTCTCTGTAACTTGAAGTTTTTAAATCATGATTTGAGGACTTCATCAGCCAGAGGTTAGGGGCCTCACAGGAGTTGTTGGATGAGGTTCTGTGGCCTGCAATGTGCAGGAGGTCAGACTAGATGATCGTGATGGTCCCTTCTGACCTTAAAGTCTGAGTCTGTGAATGGTCCCTTGAAATCAGACATGCCAAACCCGTGGGAAAAAACGAAGAAATTGGACTTATTTTTGGCTTAATTGGCTTGAGTTGCTTGTTGGCTAGTTTTTGGTTTGTAGCTTGTTGCTTTTTTTTTTTTTAAATTGGCTCCCGGCAAGTAGGGGCAACAAGGGGAGAGATTCAGAGGTACACAGTGGGCCCACCAGTCACAGACTGCACACTGGGAGGATCTAGTCACATAGTGTTGGGGTTCTTAGGGATTTGCTTGTTTTGACCTTTTTTTGAAATGGGATTAACTTGATTTTTGGTTTACCGTGAAAGTTGGGGTGCTTATTTACCACGTGAAAGTTGGCAACTGTGCTTGAAATGTGTGTTAACTACTTATGCTAAACAATCTGTTCCACCTTGTATTTAGCTGTGACAGTGAGTACTTTTTCGCAGACTGGAAAAGAGCTCTGTGTAAACTCAAAAGCTTGTCTCTCTTAACAGAAGTTGGTCCAATAAAAGATATTACCTCACCCACCTTGACCAGTTCCTTACATTAGGGAAAAAAACACACTGAAAATAAGGAACTGACTGCTGGTTAGAGCCAAAAATGCTTTTGGGCAGCATTATACAAGATTTTCCTCCTCTGGATCGCTGTCTGTTAACTGATACTACCCATTGCTGTTCCATTGCTAGGCTCCTATAGGGTTCACAGCACATCTTAAATTATGATTTGCAACATATCCCCTGGCTCTGTAATCCTAGATCTCTTTTGAATAACCTCTGTAAATCATGCCATAATGCACTATACTGGAATGGTGTTAATCTAGCAATGGTAGGTAAACCATGGTAAACTTCTCTAGGTGGACTGACTGGATTTTTTTTTTCAGTTGCTTCCTCTTCATCACATGGTCCTGGGATGAACCTGTCTCATTCTGCATCATCACTCAGTCTGCAGCAAGCTTTCTCTGAGATCAGACATACTCAAATGACTGAAGGACCCAGTACAGCTCCTCCAGTTTTTAACCAAACTATACCACCATTTCCACCTGTACTTGCTAGCATGGCTGGGAGTCTACCATCTACATCAGTGGCTCCTCTCCCAGCATCTCCCCCTTCCACCACTGGTATTGCTCTTCCAGTAGCTCAGTCTGTTGTTCCCCTGCCTACAGAAAAGGTGCCAGCTGGAGTTGCACCAAGCACAGGTGTTTCAGGCTCCAGCTCTCCCACAACATCCCAGGCTGGGCACCAATTAATTGGTGGAGTGTCTTCCAGTATGAGTGCACCTGCTTCTTTTTCATTAACTGTTACATCGCAGACTGCTCAACCACTGACTGAAGAAGTTGTCCCTAATATCAGCGCACCTGCTTCTTTAACACTGCCACCAACACAACAGATTCCTGTCATGGCTGGCCCCAGTGTTAGTGCCCCAAGTGCTGTACCCCCACCTGCGACATCTCCGCCTGCTCAACAGATTTCAAGTAGTATGGAGTCCGTGGCAGCTCCGCAAACATCTGTAGCCCCAACTATGGCTCATAATGTGACTTCACAAACTTCTCAGCTCAGCAGCAGTAGCTCCACCCCCAGTCTGGCAGAAACAGTTGTTGTAAGTGTGCTACACTCAAAGCCTGAGGATGGACAGTCAGTAGATAAATCGAAGCTGTGTAGTGCAGCTGGCTTGTCCCTTCCTATCGCCGCACCATTGTCCTCTGCAGTGGCATCAAGTATATCTAGTTCAGTCCCTCAGCCTGCTGTGGTGCATCCTTTACTCATCCCATCAGCAGTTGCATCAACACCTGTCCTACCCCAGGCAGCAGCTGCAATCTCTACCCCCATGTTACCCCAGGTTCCTTTATCTGGCATCCTACCACTGACGCAGCCAGTTGCTAACTTGCCTGCAGTACAGCAGACCTTGATACACAGTCAACCTCAACTTGCTCCGCTACCCAATCAACCTCATACTCAGTGTCTGGAGGCTGATGTTGACACTCAACCCAAAGCTCCTGGCATCGATGACATAAAGACCTTGGAAGAAAAGCTACGATCTCTATTCAGTGAACATGGCAATGTTGGAGCAACACATCCACCAGTATCTCTGGAGACATCACTGGTAATGGAGACGACAGTCATGCCTGGTGTACCGACGACTGCTGTTGCACCAACTAAACCTATGACTGCCACTACCAGCTCTAGTATACCACCAGTTAGTTTGCCCCTTGGACCAGCTGGCTTACCAGTGATGACACCAGTTGCCACACCTGGTCAAGTGGGCATTCCTGTCACCTATGTTCCAGCATCAGGCAACATTGCAACAACAGCAGTGAAACCAGTGACCCCTCCCTCAAAGCCACCTCTTAGCAGGGTACCGGTAAGGAATCCAGCACTCTTGTGAATGGTGTTAAGTAAACGAGAGAATAATCTTTTGGAAAGAACTCTTGTTCTGAAGCAAGGCTGAAACAGAATGTTTATCCAAACTGATTTGTACAGTCCAAGTGTAGTGTCTATTCTCTGTTTTTAGTGCAGGTACAGTGTTGGCATGCTTTTTCCCTTTTAAGCCAAGTACAGGCAGCTGTCCCCCCTCCCCTGCAGCCTCAGCTCGCTCTGCCACCGGCGCAATGCTCTGGGTGGCGTAGTTGCGAGCTTCTGGGGCAGCGCAGTTGCAGAGCCTGGCCTGACCTGGTGCTCTGTGCTGCTTGGTGGCGACGGCGTGGCTGGCTGCAGCCGGACGGCACAGCTGTAGCGCTGCCAGCCACCGGTGCTCCAGGCAGCGTGGTAAGAGGGAATGAAGAGTC